ATTTTATGGTTTTTGACATATTTTTCCTCCAAGAGTTCTTCTTTAGCCACAGTATATTCTTAATTTGTTGGAAATAGAGGAGTTTTGGGCAGGAATTGGTTGGATTTCATGATTTTTTGACATAGTTTTCCTCCAAGGTTCTTCTTTGTCCACAGAATCTTAATTTTTCAATGAAATAGAGGAGTTTTGGGCAGGAATTGGTTGCATTTTATGATTTTTTGACATATTTTTCCTCCAAAAATTCATCTTTGACCACAGTATATTGATTATTCAGTGCAAATGGAGGAGTTTTGGGGCAGGGATTGGTTTGAAATGAACTATTTGCTGCTCTACAAGAACTTTGCTGTCCTTCAAACACCATTTGCTGGGAGCAGATTTGCTGCCAAATCCCACCTAATCCACATTTGACTGGAGCACTCCCGCATCCCTGATGGAAAAACGGGATCCAACTGGAACTATTCTATGTCAGGGCTCATTTTTTGGCTGCAAATTGTCCCCCTGAGCTGTGTCAGTGCTGGAGAACTTTTAGGAGATCTCCTGTGTTTGAGCTGCTCTTTCTCCTGGGTGTTACAAGCATGTAAGGCATTAATTTGTTTATTATTAACTTATCAGGAGCTCAGATAAGCTCCTGATATAAATTAATATCAAATTAAATTGTTTTATTTTTTATTATGAAATTAAGTTGTTTTAATTTTATATTAATATTAAAATAAATTATTAAATGAATAATAAAAGCTCCCTTCGGAGCTCACCCTCCGACTTGGAATTCCCGAGGCGCCTCTGGCAGCTCCCAAGCTTTGCATCCACCAACCCAACCAACCTGTGGGGTCTGCATCCATTTTTTAAGGAGCTTGGGAGCTGTTGGAGGGCTCTTCTCCTGTGGTTGGACATTCCAAAGCCCAGGCAGCACATGAAAGGAACACTCCGTTCCCAACTTTCCTCCCTTTCCAAGCCAGGCTCGAGAGGGAATTGTTTTTAAGGCCCTTCCAAAGTTTCTCCAGCAGGAATTTTGCTGAAGGAGAAGAATTGTCCTAAAACCCCAGTTATATAAGACCTCTTTCTGTGCCCTCAGCTGTTAATAATTATGCCATTTGGCTCCTTTGCCGGGATATTTTATCGGGATGAAGGAATTGCCCTCCCCGAAATTGCGTCGCCGTGTTTAGGTTGGACAAAACCCTCCTCCTCAGTTCGTTTGCTAATTGGAGATTACAAACTGCTCCAAGGGGTTTCGTGGCTTTCCAAGTGTCACTTTAATTGGGAAAACTTCAGGGGAAAATATGGATGATGAGAACAGGATATTAGGGATAATATTGGAGCCGCTCACGGGCCTCGGCACGGATTTAATGGTGCCTTTGGACCTGGAGGTGGGATGAGGAGGAGGATGGAGGGATTCTGGTGGTGGCTGGAGCAGTTTGGCACATTTCAAATGGGTTTTGTTTCTACATTTGAGGGTTTTTTTTTGTTGTCTTGTTGCTTTCCTTTTTAATCTGAAATATCAGCCGATCCCCCAAAATATATCATGGAAATGCTGCTGTTCCAAGGCAGGTTTAATGGCCAGATCCATGGGATGGATCTGGGTGGGATTGTCTTCTGCTGGAGGTGGGAATAGTGCAGGAGACTTGGTGATGGTCTCTCCACAGCTCCCTGACAGGAGAGTGGGGCCTGGTGAGACCAGTCACTTCTCCCAAAAAACAAGGGATGGGATGAGAGGAAACGGCCTCAAGTTGTGCCAGGGGAGGTTTAGGTTGGATACTGGGAAAATTTTTTCCATGGAAAGGGTTGTCCAACCCTGACACAGCTGCCCAGGGCAGTGGTGGATCTCCATCTCTGGAGGGGTTTAAAATCCCTGTGGATGTGGCACTTGGGGACATGGGTCAGTGGTGGCCTTGGCACTGCTGGAGTTGGACTCAGTCTCTGAGGTCTTTTCCACCAGAAACGATTCCATGGGGAGGTTTAACCTGGAGCAGGGGTTCCATGCCAGCAGGTCAGTGTCCTCTGTCCCCATCCTGAGCTGAGATCACTCAGTCCTCCCATTCCTCCTTCTCTATTTCCACCAAAACCCCTGATAAGGCCAAAAACCCCCGGGCAGAAGCCGTGTTAGTGAGACGGGAGCACCAGAAAAAGGTTCCCGAGGCTCCCGAGAAGAAAACTGCCCTTTTCCTGACCCGTGATCGAATCCTGCCCCGGCTTTCCAGGCCCAACTTGGGCTGAACAATGTCAGGGATCCTGCAAGCATCGAAGGGAAACGGCCACATCAGTGTCAGACGGAAGGATCATAATGTAATAGTTACCAAAAAATCCCAATATTTGTCATTTACAATGGCGTTATCTCGGCGCTCGGCCCGCAGTTAAAAAGGCCCAACGTTGAATAAACATCGGGATATTTATTATTTTTAGTGAAATCGACCTTCCAGTCACCTCGGTTTTATGGCCGCGCTGCTTATAAATTCCCAAAGGATTATTTGAAAAATCCTACTCATATCTGGCAGCCTTATCAGCAGGGCAGGAGTTCACATATTGTACCGGGAGGTCACCCTCCGGTCATGGTCTTCCAGAGGGGGCCAGGCACCTGTAAATCCTTCCTTCAGCAACCAAGGCGAAGTACAATATCAAACAGGCAGGGAGACTTTTCCAGGAAACGCTGAACTTTCTCAGGAAGGGCAGAGGAGGGGGAAAGAAAGTGAAGGAAGGTCGGCCGGGGGTTAATTGAGAGTTGGACCTTGGCGTGGTGGCGGCTCCGGGCAGGACAAGCTCTGCTGGGATTCTTTATGGGACTATTCATCCCGATTCCTTTTCCCTGAGAAACGGGCTGGCGGTGCCTCGAGGAAGAAATGGGCGTAGGGGAGGCTTTGGGTGTCTGGAGATACGAAGCAAAACAGCCCAGGAGTGCAACTGGGGGTTATTTCACTTGGGTTGTCCCTGGGTGCAGCTCCTGCTTTGCTCAGGTGGTTTGGGTTTGTGTCCCTGGAACAAACCAAAACATCCCAAAGTTGGATTTGTGTTATTTCACTTGGGTTCTCTGTGTGTGTAACTCCTGCTTTGCTCAGGTGATTCGGTTTTGTGTCTCTGGAACAAAAGAAACCATCCCAGGAATGTGTATTGTTTCATTTGGGTTCTCTGTGTCTGCAACTTCTACTTTGCTCAGATGATTTGGTTTTATGTCCCTGGAACCAAACAAGACATCCCAGGAGAGGATTTGTGTATTATTTCACTTGGGTTCTGTGTGTGTGCAACTCCTGCTTTGCTCAGATGATTTGGTTTTGTGTCTCTGGAACAAAACAAAACATCCCAGAAATGGATTTGTGTATTGTTTCAGTTGGGTTCTCTCTGTCTTCAACTCCTGCTTTGCTTAGATGATTTGAGATTATGTCCCTACAACTGCCTGGAACAAACCAAAATATCCCAAAAGTGGATTTGTGTGTTATTTCACTTTGATTATCCCTGTGTGCAACTCCTGCTTTGCTCAGGTGACTTGGGTTTGTGTCCCTGGAACAAACCAAACCATCCCAGGAATGGATTTGTGTGTTGTTTCAGTTGGGTTCTCTGTGTCTGCAACTCCTGCTTTTCTCAGGTGATTTGGGTTTGTGTCCCTACAACTGCCTGGAACAAACCAAAACATCCCCAAAGTGGATTTGTGTGTTATTTCACTTGGGTTATCCCTGTGTGCAACTCCTGCTTTGCTCAGATGATTTGGTTTTATGTCCCTGGAACAAACCAAGACGTCCCAGGAGAGGATTTGTGTATTATTTCACTTGGGTTCTCTGTGTGTGTGCAGCTCCTGCTTTGCTCAGATGATTTGGGATTATGTCCCTACAACTGCCTGGAACAAACCAAAGTATCCTAAGAGTGGATTTGTGTATTGTTTCAGTTGGGTTCTCTGTGTCTGCAACTCCTACTTTGCTCAGATGATTTGGTTTTATGTCCCTGGAACAAAACAAGACATCCCAAAAGTGCATTTGTGTGTTATTTCACTTGGGTTCTGTGTGTGTGCAACTCCTGCTTTGCCCAAAGGACTTGAGTTTGTGTCCATACAACTGCCTGGACCAAAACAGAACATCCCAAGAATTGATTTGTGTGTTATTTCTCTTGGGTTATCTGTATCTGCAACTCCTGCATTACTCAGATGATTTGGGTTTATGTCCCTGGAACAAACCAAAGTAT